ATATATATATATATATATATATATATATATATATATATATATATATATATAGTCAAATTTTTTTAGTTTTTTATTCAGTATAATTAAATGAACCCAAATTACACAGCTATTTGCAATAGGAAACTGCGTGTTGTAATTCGGAAGATAATGTCACACGAATTTTATTCCTGTGTGCGTCCCTCCCTGCGCCTAGTGTTGGCAATAGATCCACACTTGGTGTGTGTCTCATAATTTTAATATTTTTGTATTAATTTATATATTGCATATCATTTATCATTATTTATATTTGACAATTTATATATTATTATTGTTAGTATTTAAGTATTAATTTTGACATTTATTGGTAATCAGTCGTAGCCCTTGTTCGCACGGGTAATTCCCTAAAGTATCGATTGCGAGCACAGGGATCAATAATTTCAGTAAACGACTTGAGATCGGACGCGAGGTCTCGTAGTTTTTCATAAAATAAAAATCGGGAGACACGCGGTAACCCTCTAAGTGTAAGGAGTGACGATCTGGCACCTTCGTTCGAGTTCCCTTTTTTGGTAAGTACTCACAAGTTGAGCCATTTTATTACTCACGCACCGCGTTGTCTCCTGGCGAACAAGTTGGTATTAAGAGTCGGTATTAATTATTTGAGTCAGCCAGTATTTATTTATTTTTATTATCTTTTGTCGAGATAACCCAACTGGGGATTTCGGGTCTATCTCTGTTCAATATTATTAAATATAATTCTTAGTTATAATTAAAGTCGTCGTAAATAAATAGTCTACTCAGGATTTAGATTAATAATCAATAATTATACGCGGCAAGATTAAAATTATCATTGTTATATAGTTCATCCGGCTAAGGAATTCGGCTCTGAACTTAGTTTTAAGTAACTTTGTTTTGAAGAAATAGTTGATTTGTTTTTATTAATATATGCTGATTTATTAATAATTTAATTTACGCAGTTTACTTCCTCCTTTCTTTCCTAATATTAGTCTATTATTTATCTTCCTCTGAATACCTGCAGATCGGCCCTGGAAATCAAAGGGTTTGTTGTTTCCTTAGTGAAAAGAACAACTGGCGTCCAAAAATCGTGCACTAACCCAGCCTGAGGAAGAGCTGCTGGTTGCTTGGGAGGCGAAGAGTTCCCTCCCAAGTCATTTTTTTGTTTATTTAGTTTTTTTTTTTTATAAAACATTGGGCGACCTGGACAAAATTACGTATCAACTGGCCTCTCCACCGTCAGCTGGAGCGCAATTTTTGTTACAATAACAAAAAAAATAATCTCGATATGTTAAGTTTTGTGGGTGTAATCGTGCCAGATCCGTACATACACACATCCAGACAGGTTCGAAAATTTTTTTTCTATTAGTTTTTTTTACACTCAATAAAATAAATGTCTTTTTATAATATCACATTCGTTAAAATAAGTGTTTTTTGTTGACATACGTGTATTTAGATTATTTTATAAGTGCAATATGAATAAAATAGACATTTTTACTTTAAAAAAATTGCTTGATTTTGTTAAGGCGAGGCTAGAGCACTACCTCACGCGCTTCGTAATAACGAATACAAACTAGACTAGCTTTATCAATTTTTTTTCGCTTGAAAAACTTGAAAAACTACATTGAAACTTGAAAAACTACATTGCATATCGTCAAACGATTCAAACACAAATGACGCGTTTAAAAGATATTGCTGTTTGAAAAATTCACCAAATGATGATCCAAAACAACTCTCAGATGTTTGAGTTCAAAATTAACTAATATGAAAATTATATGTGTTCATTAAACGAATTAATCGATTAAAACGCAGTTGATGACAATTGAAAAAGTTTCTCTAAGCTTAGACTTCCGACAAATTTGAACCGATTCAGCCCGGTAGATTTTAACAAGTTCTAAAAATTGAACTTTTAGAATAATGTTTTTTGGAATAACTTTTAGAGTAATGAGTTACGATCACTTACAAATTAATAATAATCACAGTATTGATATTTATGAACTATTGTTATCAGTGTTTTTATAATAATGATGAAGGGAACTTACATTATTAAATATTAATTCTATAAAAGCTGAAACATCGATTTATTTATCAGTAAATCATTAGAAACAGTAAATCATTTTGCATATCTGTCTTTCTAAATCAATAATCATCTTATCTTATTAACTGGTAACAATTTGTAAATATGAACTAGAATAAAAATGATCAAATGCAATCATTTTCTATTATGTAAAATTATTTGTCATTTAAATATGGTTTATGAACACATAACTAAATATTAATGATATCCAAATCATTATATTCGTATTCTATTTTGTTCAGTTTATTACAACCAATTGCTTGGATCGATTGTGTTGGGTCAAATTATAAATATATGGTAAATGAGTACATTGTTACTAGTTAGAAAATCTTTGACTATTCTTCTATTTCAGTCTTGCTTGACAGCTAATTTTTGCTAACAGCTCAACTTACGATAACATGAAGCTACATTATAAATTCAGTTTTTTTTCGTTCATTTTTATAAATGTGAAGTGTTATCAAGTATTGGCATTGAAAAAATTTTATGATATAACAATGACAATATCATATTTTTAATATAATTAATTGCCTTTTTTTTCTTTACATTTCACCGAATATACCTGCAAAAGTTTTTCGTAAATTTTTCATTGTATCTTCAGTATCTTCACTAGGAGTTGCTTGAGATTGACTTCCTTGACGATGAAAAGAAATTCTTGATGGTGGTAATGGTGGTGGCTCATCAGAACGACGGCTTGCAGGTGGTGCATTACTAGTCGCGCTTGATTGAGATACTGTTAAAATTTGAATAATTAATTGGAAATTAAAAGTGAATTGAGAGAAAAAGTATGTGAGTGTCGAGTTCGGTATTTTTAATAGTATAACAATCGAAATGTGATCGAGAGATCCCGATTCCTCAAATTTTTCAAAAATGAACTTTACTTCCAATGAGTTGAAATATTTCAGCCCACGTAAGTACAAATTGTAATACTTCTAATGTAAAAAATAAAATATATTGGAAAAAAGTAATAGAAAATTTGTATCGAGTAATTCCATTTATAGCTGAGTGGTATGAAAAGTGTTGGACCATAGTAAGTATGTAGCACATAATAAATTAGATACAAAATTTGTAACATAATTTTTTTCCACTTGAAGTTAAGCTTTAAATTCAAAGAAAACAAATCATACTGATTATACTTACTGAAATGAAAATACTATTGATTAATAGCTAATTGTTTTTTTGCTTTACCTTGAGAATCTCTTCGCTGCAATTGATGAATATCAGATCCGTTAACATCACTAGACAATATCGGTGCCTGAGCTGAAGTTGAGCTCGTGGAACCCGTACTAACAGCACTTGTAATAGATCCTATTGATCCATGTGAGCTTAAAACAGGTGCTTGCCCTGGAGGCGGCCCACGCTCTTCAACTGGACTTGCTGTTTGACTAACACCTGACATTGAACCTCTCGATGTAGTTTTTGTCAAAACACTGTGAGGTCTGCAGCACACCTACATTTCAACCAGAAATAACAATTTACAAATTATTTTCAGTACCAACGAATTCAGACAATGATTATAATATATATAATATTCAAAAGCGATTTCAGCCTGATCCTTACAATTTACATTATTAATAAGAATAAGAATCTATCTATATTTTATTGTGGTGTATCGAAGTTATCTCAGAATTAAAAAAGTATGAAAAATCCAAAAGTGCACGCCTCATAATCTCATTTTTCACAATAAAATTGATTAAAATGAATGATAAAAAGCAAAATAATAAAAAAATAACTCTGTTATGGTTAGTGGCGCCATAACTCTGAGGTGAGGAAAAAAAATACTATAATAAAATGTATATATACATCTATCTATAGATAGATATACAATAAAATCCACAGTCATAAATTAGTTTTTTATCAATAATAATTTAACGACAGTGAATTGAACGCTCATATTAATTAAGAAAATCCGTCATGTGTTACTTTAGATAATAAAAAAAAATTATTCCGGTACGATCATTTTTTCGACCAATTTCCCTGCCACATACACCCATCCATATACGGACGTCCAGAAAAGATTATGTTTAATGTTATTATTTACTATGTTAAACAAAAAAATTGTTATTGAAATAAATTTTATGTGCCTGACAAATTATTTGACTTGATATAAGTGTACTCATATTAATCTGTAAGTGCGATATAAATAACAAAAAATCAATTTCAGTTTCGAGAAAACTGCTTTTTTTGAAATGTCGAGAGTAGAGCACAACCTCAACGCTTCGCTTATGAGGCGTGCAATAAAGTCATGCGTGGAAGTAAGTGAGCAATAGCCCGTAAAAGAGGCGACACTAGCGAATGAAAAAGACAGCAGTAGCATAAACTATAGGTTGGGAAAGAACTACCTTAATACACGGTAAAAAAATTTTCGTCATTGCGTCAAAAAATTTTCTGTTAAAAATTTTTTACTGCGTACAATATGATATTAATAAAAATTTGTTAGACTAAGTATTTCTGATTTTGTAATAAAAACTAAATAATTAAAGTCTGACGTGTGTGAAAATTAAAATTAAAATAAAAAATTTACAATTTATCTTTCAGCTTCAAATATTAGCAGTTAAAATTAGCGTAAGATAATGAAATAATTTATTAATAAGAAAAAGTGAATTAATAAATTATAAATTCTATTTAAATTTCTTAACATGCACAGACTTTTATTATCCGATTCCATCTTTTGAATCCCTGACCAGTATTTTCAGAATCTTAAAGGACAAATTGTTAAGCCCTGACCTGGGTTCATGAATTGCTATAAGAATCTTCAACTTTTACAAGAATTTAGTATTCGTTCCTACGTCTCACCTAGATATTCCATAAAGTATGACGTTGAAACTTTAAATCTCCTTACGATCTTGGAGGATACGTGCTCCGACCGTAAAGTCTGGATAGAAGTTAACTCCTTCCTCTATTTCCTTTATTTCATTTCAATTTCTTTCTTTTTCTTCTATCCCATTTTAAACGCTCAACTCCTTTTTCTTTCCCTCGTGTGCGTCTTTTATTTTCCCGACGTCTCATGTGTGTCATCACCGTCGTACAAGTCGATGTCGATATTTTTTCGCTCAGTTAACTTATCATAAAATCCAACCAAAAAGTATCAAGACAAACTATAAAAACATTTTAAGAACGGGGTGTTTGTCACTACACGAGAACGATCTGTATAGTAACGTCGTTGTTTATTGTTAACGAAAATTCAATAGGGTGTGAAATATTGTCCTCAATAGGTACTTTGTTGTGTGGAGCAATATTGTATCATGTGGGATTAAATCAACTTTTTTGGACAACGGCTAGGAGAGATTGTGTGGCGGCATTTGCGCCGAGTATCCATCACGAGGGGCTGTCATTGACACGTGACTCGAGGCCTGGTTTCACCACCAGGAAAGATCCAAATGTCCGATGATTTAAATGCTATTGTTGTATATTAATTGTTTGCTGACATAAAACAATTGATTGTGCTTTCAATCATTATTAGTAAATTTCGTTATAAATCTAACTATGGTGTTGATAATTAAAATTTTCAGAAATTTTGCCAAATTATGTTTCTATGGTAGTCGAGTAGGTTCAGAAAATACCATCCGTTTAAAAGTTTATACCTATATGTGCGTATGTATGAACACTGAGAGAAAAAATTTCTTTGGAAAAAATTGAACAATTAGTGTAATAAGAAATTAATTTGTTGAAAATTTTCAACAATTTCGTTTCTTAGTTGAAGAAATAAAAAATTTTCTCACAGTAACTTTCTGAATTGTTGAAAAAAAGTTCTTTCTATTTGGGAAAAAACAACTTTGGCCGAAAATTTGCGAGTTTTCCATCTAAAATTGTTTTTTTTTTTTCAAATCAAATAAACTTTAAAAAAAAAATTAGGAAAACGGTTGACCCTGAAGGCCATCCTGCAACTTTTCGCTAATTACATACCTAAGCTCTTAAAATTATACTTATGACGTTTTTGAGCTTTTCGAGCTCAAAAATACGATTTATGGGTTATTTTGAGCTTTCCGAGCTCTAGGAGTTTGCTGTTCTATGCTTTTGAGCTCATCGAGCTCAAAAGTTTGATAGAAGTTTAATAAAACACTATTCTTAAAAAGTTCAAACTACAATTACTGTTGAATAAATAAACCGATTTTCACGCGGTTGGCAGCATTCAACGCAGTTTTTTTTTAATCCTATGCTTAACTTTTAAACACAAATTGATCAGACCGAAAATTTTAGAGAAATTTGAAAAATTCACTTTTTCTGAATTTTCTCGACTACGGTAACTCACGAATCAATCAATTGATTTTGACGTTTTTGGAGAAGATTAACGTGGTTCGAAAACGATCCAAAAGAAAATGTCAAAGTTATGCAAAAAAAACATTTTTCTAAAATGTTTCGTTCGAGATATCTCTTGAACGAATCAACCGATTTTGACCGGATTAGCGGCGATCGACGTGGTTTTTCAAGGTTAAAAGCTGATTAGTTTTGAAGATTGATCGATAAAGCCATTTAGAAGTTATTCCAAAAAATCGATTTTTCAAAAATTTTGTTCTTGCGATTGTTTGAAAATCTCAATATGAAGATAAATAACAGTAGATATAATACAGTATTATAGAAGAAATATTTGAATCAATCAAATCTAATAGTAACACAAAAACATGTTAAGCTCAAAAATTGACCTAAAATTTTTCGTATTAATTCCAATTTTTATTGTAGCTTTATTGCCAATTGTTGGTCGATTATTAAGCGTTAATTCTTATCATTTTACAGTACCCTATATTTGTATTTCTTTTTTTTCGTGACTCTTTATTCATTACTGTTAATCTTTCTAGTATAGAGGTACCGGAAAGCAAAGGGGTAGTATAAATAATATGTGTATTTTTATTATATGGATATAGGAGGCATCGGATATCACACTAGTAGTATCCCAGGATCCCAGGGGAACTCATCGATCATTTCTACGGGAGTTTTCATCGCTGTTGTTTGGAATGGTAGCACCACACTCTTAAATGAGAAGAGTGAAGTATAGATGATAGTAGGATAGAAATAGGAAGAGACTGCTCACTTCTATTCATTACCAGCAGATATGAATTTACGTTTTGGCCAAATGTAATTTTTTCTGTTTCCATTCGCTAATCCAATTTTCGTTACTCACTATTCCACTTCATCAGTTGAGTGTTTCCCTGTTTTTATTTTAGTAATTCATTTTATTCACTTTGTTTAATCCGCAAGCTCTGCTTGCTTGTTCGATCACGGTAGAAAATTCGCGCGTGGAACAACCGCAGTTCTAGTTGTAGGACAATAGTTTGTGTTTAACCGACGGAAAAAGTTTGTGTATGTGAATTTGGAAAAAGGCATAAATGTATGCATATTTTTTCATTCTGTCCCATATGCTATGGCTCGATTACTCCACTTTGTGGCGTGCCGACAATGTGGAATGTGTATACTGTAAGCTTTATGATTTTCCCAAAAACTTTTAGCACGTGAAACAAACATTAGATCAAAGTAAGCTTTAAAGTACACGGAGAGAAATTTATAGGAATCTTTCCAACAATTATGGGAATGGATCCTATAATAAAATTATCATTATAGGCATTAATCCTATACTCATTATGGGAGCCATACCCATAATTTATTGGAAACGTTCCTATACAATAACGGAATAGCTTCAATATA